TATTTTGGTATGGGGGATCTAACTCCAGACCTTGCACTTGCAAGGCAGGCAGCAGAACCACTGAGCTAAATCCCCGGCCCAGTACTATTTATATATGGATAATTTAAAAGTATTTCACTTAGCTCAGTGGTGCCACCACCTGCCTTGCAAGAACAAGGTCCTGAGTTCCATCCCTGGTACCTCCCCGCAAAAAGTATTTCACTTAAATTTACTCTTCACTCCACTACTCTAAATCTGCAGGCAATTTTGTGTGTATGGGGTGGGGGCCTAGTGTGTGAACAAAAGATCCAAATTGAACGCGATTGGTTGTGAGTGACACTTCAATGGGAATGAAGTGAGTAAAGAGCGGGGAGGTGGGCGGGGGGGAATGAGCTGGATTTCCATTTTATCTTAAAACGAAGTTTCCATGTCCCCACTTGAGTCATTTAGACAGGTCCAGAGAGGTGAGAAGGCTCAGATCCTGGACATAGACAAGGTGCCTACAGAAAAGCTTGAGGGGGACAAAGCCCAAAGAGAGGTGGCATAAGGTTAGGCTGGGCTGCCAGCCAAACGGTCCAATGGGTTTCTTCCAACTAAGACCTGATCATGCCTCCCAGGAGCAGGGCTAAAAATCCAAGCATCCAAGAGGGCCTGACCCAGAGAACTGGGCTGGGCAGGAAGGAAGCTGAGCCCACAGGAGAGATGGGTTCCTGAGTCAAGGACACCAGCGCTGCAGTTTATCAGGCAGGGGCTTCACAGCAGCCTCAGAGGACAAGTGCAGGGCCTGGGGCACTGTAGGCAACTGGGAGAGGCCAGTGGGAAGGCAAGGTGAGGTGCCTGAGTCGGGGTGAGGGCCATCTTCTCTCCACCCTGCTGTTCTCCGACACCTCTGCTCCCATAAGGAGGTAGCAGAGCTCAGCCAGCATGTGGCCAGTGCGCCCTCTGGGAGCCTCTGACCCCAAGACAGCCCTTGGGGACATAAGTGAAGCAATTCACTGTTTATCCACCTCCCTAGAAGCTGGGCATGGAAAAGCAAGCCCTGATGACTAGGGCCTCCTCAAAGTGCCCCAGAAGAGTGGTACCTGAGGAAAGGGAGTTTTGTGTGACATGGGAGGTGCCTTTGTGAATATGGAAGGTGGGGCCTGGAGAGGTACCCACTGGGCACATGCTCACACACACACACGGACAAGCGTGTGTTCACACACATGCACACCCACATGCTCTCTGTCCCTTCTTGACAGCCTATTCTCAGTCCCTCCTTTAGAAAGCAGCAGTCGTTATCCCTCTTTGGAATTCTGTACAGGCCACAGCACCCTGTACTCACACGGTGTCCTCTGTGAGTGGTCAGTAATCATCTGCTAACACTGGTCATGGGATGTCTTCCTCTAACGTGGGCAAATGAAGCCAGTTCAATGGCCAGCAAGATACACGTCAGGAGGCACTGTTGAGTCAGACTTCTCTAGTTCCTATGGTTTCCAAGTATCAGTGGCAACTAGGCAGGTGTATCTTGCCCCTATGGAACCCCTCAAATGAAAGCCAAACCCAATAAACACCTCACCTGGCAAGCAGCTAGACCTCTATGCTGTATTTCCCAATGCCAGCTTGGACCTCTCCACCTATACTTTGCAGACACAGCTCAAACTCAACGTACCCCAAACTGAAATACTGTGTTCCCTTGCAAATTTGCCTTCCGTGTGCAACCCACCCACATCATTCACCATGTTGCCCAAGCTGCAGACACAAGCACTACCTCTGGGTTCTGGCTCTCTGCTGCTGAAGCTCATCCAACCCTAGACCTCTGTGGCCTTCCTCCTTCCTGCCCAGGAGACGCTGCACCGACACACACCTGCACCAGAACAACACCGAGTCACTCTCTCTGCCTGCAGCCTTCACCAGACCCCAAGCCTCTTTTGCACACTCTTGCCACACATGCTCTCTAAAATGCAAGGGAGAGGGCATCACCCTCCAGTTTAAGATCCTCCAGTGGTCCGGAACTGCATCTTAAATAACTGTCAACGCCTTGGCAAACCATACCGTCTTAATACAGAGCCCTAACCCTTCCACCTCCTCTCTCGTCACAACGGAACATTGTACACAGTGTTCTTTCACGTGTCCAAGCCCGACCGCCCTCACTGGGTCCTCACAGACTTGCAAGTGTCCTGGCCTTCTGAGAGCGGGTTTTCTTGTTTCCACGTAAGCGTGTGAACTGCTCGCGGCCCAGGATACTGCCTCACTCACTGTGGAACCTCTGGAACTACACTTTGCACACCGTGGGCAGCCAACAAATATCTGGTGAGTGGAAGGATGATGTACAACACTGGGTCGGGGACTGGCACCAGGGCGTGTGCCACAGACTTACCCCAGAGAAGGAGTTCTAGGCCCAAACCAAGAGTCCCAGAGCTACTCCTTTCTTTCTTTCTTTCTTTGGTACTGGGGATCGAACTCGGGACCTTGAGCTTGCAAGGCAGGCAGGGGAACCACTGAGCTAAATCCCCGGCCCTGCTACTCCTTTTTAATACGTATTTATACTTTGTCTCCTAATCGGTCGCACATGTTTTATTTTCAAGTATTATTAAATTAACTAAGGGTATTGCTCCACTCGCCCCCGCCACGTGGTGTAGTTGTTTGGAGAAACTATTAATCCACTTAAAAGACTAACCATAGCTTCTGCTATGGAAGCTATGATTGCTGTGGAAGGCTGCCCTGCTTACCCGCAGGCAGGACCCACTCTCAGGGCCTCCCACAACGGCCCTCACTTTATATCTTTCCTTTTGTTCTTTTATCTTTCAGCTTTCTTGTCACAACCAAGCAGCACAACTCGCGGCTGAAAGAACCCAAGGGTTTTTAAGCGCCCAGCTAAGATGCGGCTCATGGATCATCAGGATGCGGCCGCAATGCCCCTCACGCGTGCACTCCGCGCCCTCCTAGAGTGTGACTCCCGAACGCATGTCCGCAATCTCAGGAGTCCGTCAGAGCACTTCCAATCCTTCAGAGCGCTAGCCTGACTGCGGAAGTAGTGTACGCAAAAGTTAAGCTCTTTCCCTTGTAAAACTCATCTCTCCGGAGATCTAAGCGAAGGGAGAGAAATCGAGGGGCTCCTGATCATCATGCAGCTTTCTCACAAGGTTTATGATCAAGTCAAATTAAAGAAAATAAAATCTCACTGGGGCAGCGGGACTGAATCGGCGGGGGTGGGGCGGGGGCGGGATCGGCAGAGAGGAACCCCGGGGGCGGGGCTGGCCGGGAGGGGCGGAGCTGACCTGGTGGGCGGGGACGTCGTGGAAAGGGGCGGGGTTGGCCCGATGGGCGGGGCCTGGTAGGTCCCCAAGAAACCGCCGCTCTCGCGACTCCTGGGCCTCCTCAGCCCCGAACGTGCGCCGCGGCGGTGAGGGAGCAAGGCCGAGAAGCCGCCGTTCACACTCTGCCGGCTGCAGAAGTTGTTGCCATACATTTCGGATGTGCGTTTTCCACGCCTCATTCTTGGTCTCGCATCTCCAGAGGGGCCTTGGCCCTGTCACCACAGTCGCAGCCACACACCCCTTCCCCTGACTCGCCTTGGCTGCACCGGCTGACCTGTCTACCTCAGACCCGGCCTGTCCACCTCAGATCCGGCCTGTCAGCCGGACGCGAGCTGGCGGCGAGAGGAGGGTGGGGCCAGGCCGCGCAGGGGGCGGGAAGAGCGTTAGGGCACGTGAGGGGGCGTTGGCCAATGGTAGGGTGCTGTGGAGGGCGGTGGGGCGGGGATGGAGGCGGGGCTCAGCGCCGGGGGCGGGGAAGGGCCGGGCCGGGGGAGGGGCGGACAGACGCCGCCGCCGCCGCCGCCGCCCCCGCCGCGGCTGCCGCAGCCTCCGAGAGCCCGGAGAAGGAGAAGCGGGAGCGAGCGAACGACTCCGTCCCCGGGCGGCGGCTGCAGCGGCCCGGGGGGTGCGGCGGCCGGGGCAGGGGCGGGCGGCGGGGGCAGCCCGCACCAGCCATGCCGAATAAAAACAAGAAGGAGAAAGTGAGTGCGAGGCGACGGCGGGGGCGGCGGCGGGAGGCGCCCTCTGCGGGGACCCGGGGCGCAGTTAACCCGCGGGGCACAGCGGCGTGGGCCGCGTCGCGCTTGCGCTGGGGGCGCCCAGGTAGGCGCTGACGCTTCGGGGTCGCCCTGAAATCCTCCTTCCTGGGGTTCAGGCCAGAAGGACGGCTTTGAGGTGTCTGCGATGTCAGAAGCGCGGTGTAAAATTGGGTTATTTTCTCTGCTTAAAGTTTCCCCTTTTTTTCTGCTTTTTCTAGACAAGGTCTCGCTATGTAGCCCAGGCTGGCCTCTAACTCGCCAGCACAGCCCCTGCCACAGCCTCCCGTGCTGGGGTTACAGGCGTGCCACCACCACGCCCGGTTTCTGTGTGCTTAAAGTTTTCAACCCAAATGCAGAGGAGGAGAATGAGAATTGGGAGGGTGGGGTGGGCCAGTGGGGTGTGCTAGCCCAAGACCGTATCTTTAAACAGTACTCACAGATGTCCCCACGGTATGGAAGCTGTACTCGAGTTTTATAAATCAGATTTTGAAACTGTTTAGTTAGGTGTATAGAGGGCTAAAAATTGAGAAGACTCATTGTTTTTGTTTGATGTTTCCCAGGATCCACCAAAAGCAGGGAAAAGTGGGAAGAGTTCAAAAGAAGGACAAGACACAGAATCAGAGGTAACTGTCCTTAGATACCTCCTTACTTTTTCTATCAGCAGCTTTCCCTTGGGACAAAACACAGAGTGATGAAACCCAGGGTCTTCCAAAATGTTTCCCTGTAGGAGACTTTGTGGTGTCTCTGAGTTATTTAGGTATTCCACTTCAGAAAAAGTGCCAATCCAGGCAGCTTCTATTTTTAACTACATCCCCCCACCCCAAACGTAGCAGGCCTCCTGCGAAGACTGGTCTTACAGGGCCTCTGGCTGGAGTTCATGTTCCCTTTGCTCTAGGATCCTCTCTCCTTCTTCCTTTGCAAGCCGCCAGGTGGCTTTCTGCGTGGCTCTTCGTCTTTCTTCCATCACCCTTGTTTTCCTTGGTGCAGTCTCTGCAGCTGGTGTCTTGGGCAAGCTCTTTTTTTCTGTTATCTGGTCCTTTAGCATTTTTCAAACCAGTATCTTCGGTATTTTTTATATATCTAGCTTGAGATTTTTTTGTGCATTCTTCTACTTCCTTCCTCTACCCCCACCCCACTGGAGTGGGACTTTTCTTGCTGCTTGACATTGGTTTCGTAAAAGAACAGCTGGAATGCTCAGTGAAGAGTGTGTTTGTACCTGGTGGAGTCCGCACCAGGCACCGCTCGCCTCTGCCTCTTCTTCCTTGTGACTGACTGTCCTGGAACTAGAGCACCCAGGGCCGGGGGTCCATCAGCAGAGCTCATGGGTCTTTTTGAAGCCACAGAGAGTCAAGAAGTTGCTTAGCTTGGGGTCAGTTCTGCAGGCTGGATCATTGAGATCTCTGGTCTTAACATAAATGACATTAATTTGTGAGTGTCAGAGCCCTTCCTGCAAGCCAAATTAGAATGAGTTAAATTCTGCCTGGGAGACACAGTAGACTTTTTTTAGCTCCAGGTTATCTTTTCCCTGTCATTTGGTGTGTTCTAAGCCTCCCTTCTCTGGAGCAGGTGGTTTATTCCAGCAAATCTGTTGCCCTCCCTACAGCAAAAAGCAGAAATCCAAAAGGTTCCTTAAATACCAATAGTTAGAATTATTTGTGCCAGTCTTTCCCTACCCTTTCTTTACAGCAGACTATCAAGTTTGCTATGGTTAAATTTGACTTGCTTACTTCCTGTGCCACCCTTTTGACACTCTATGATGAAATATAGTCATTTGCAGGGGTGTATACTGTGTGCTTTCTTCTCTTTCTTTTGTTTGTTGCTCTTTCATTAAAACTGCTAAGATTTCCGATAGCTCCCTAACCTTTCTTACTAATATAACTGCATCCTCTTACTGTTAAGGTCACAAAGGAATAGGAATGTGTATGTTTCATTTATTCCTCTTTTAATGGAAAGAACCTGACAGTAAGGAGGGATAATGTTAAATTTGAGCCTGAAAAATCCATCAGCAATGCCAAAACTATTTTACTATGTAAAATGTGCATTTATTTATAAGGAGGATAGCGTTCTTAGAATGTCAGTTGTGTAAGACTTAAGTGTGGCCTGCAGTGTCTGAGTGTGATGCCCCACTTGTTTTTTTGTATTTTTTCCAGTGCTACTGTGCCTAAGAGCTGGAGCCACAGAGCTTGAACTTACCACTGAAATGTTGGGCCCTTCACTACTTCCTCATATGGATACCAGAGGCAACATGGCATTTTAAGCATGACACAGTTTCATTGCGTAAATTATTTTGCAGGAATACAGCTTGAGGCACTTCAGTTCATCTGACTTTTGAGTTGACCTTTATTCTTTATTGCCTTCTTCCTCTCAGTCTTCAGCTCACTTCTTCTAGTTCCACCTACTTACCTAGTAAGATTGACTCCTGCAGGTGAATTAAACCATTACTGCACACATTTCCTCTCGTCTGTATCTCAGTGTTTCTCTGAGCTGGAATACTTTAACCTGAATGTTGTGTTCCAGGCTTGACATCAGGTCACCCTTGCGAGCTACAGCTGCTCGTGTTGCCCCTGGAACTCACCTCATTGGGCTTCACAGCCTGGAGGGCCATGCAGGGCCAGTACTCGTCCAGGACAGAGCAGCCAGGAGGTTTGGGAAATAATCCCAGCAGAGAGAACGTTCAAGAACTTGGCCTGTGGCTGAGTTAGCCCTCCTTCAGGTGTGTGGAGGGTTCCTATAACGGAATCCTGGTGGGCCGTCTTCTAGCCTGGCAGAAGCCAAGGCAACAAATGCCTACTGCACAGAACATTTTCTGGTTAGAACAAGGGAACATTTGATGACATGGGCTTTTTTCATAAGGAAGATACAGTTCTGGAGTAAAGGATAGAGTGGTACAGTGGCAATTATTTTCAGCTTTGAGGTTAGAAAATCCTACTGATTCCTGCATTGCCATAAATGGTGTCATCTAACTTGTGTTACCCTGCTTCTTCATCACTAAAATGAGTCACGAGCTTAAGGTTTGGCCACTTTTAACTTAGGCTCCCCTGTTCTTAAGAAATTTCCCCCAACAAGATATATGGCAGGATCTATCCTTCAGTGGCACCAAATACTGTTAAAGATCATAATTGCTGCTGTGCAACTTTTGTCTTATTCTAGAAATTTCTACGTCTTGAATGACCTGTTGGTACATTTTCCTTTTCTTTTTTTTTTCCTCTTTCAAATAGAATGTTAAATTTTATGTGTTGCTTATCCATATGTGTCCTGGAAATAAAAGTTTCTGTGCAGTATGTGCTGCTGGTTTATTTCGTAGCACACCGCTAAGGAACAAGGCCGCAACCGGGCTCCTGGTTCACTTGAAGTTGGAAAATGTGGAGACTGACAGAGGGAATGCGTTTTCGAGCAGCTGTTCTCAGTAACATTCAAATCTGGGGAAACATGATTAGGCATATTTTAGGAATATTCAGACTCTTAATAAATTGCTCAGACTTTCTAAAGTTCACTTTGGAGGATCCGCCCATAGGATGGTGTTGCCATATTGTTTTGTTCTGTTTTTTAAACTTGTGTACTGTGTCCAGAGTTACGTTTTATAAGTGTTAATGCTTTTTGTAGAGTGATTTGTTTTCAGTACATTAAAGATGATTTGAGTATTGTTCTCTGATCCTGTACCTTACACATACAGCTCAGCTCAGCTCTGTTTGACAGTCGCTACAGCAACTCTTACATAACACCCTTTGCTGAAAGGAAAGCTAAATGATCCTGTGGCCTGGGAGCTTATTCTGACACCATCCACCTTTAGGAATGACTTCTTTGTTTTCATAAGCTGTCCCTTTGCGTTCTGTTGCCACCAACCCCTGGTAGCCTAGAGTGAGGTAGACTGACTTGCTGGAGGTCCTATGGTACTAGGTGGTGGAATAATTTTTTTATAAATTAAAATGGAAAATTCAAAACCGTTTATTAATCTAATATACCCTTTACATGTTAACAGTTTTTTGTGAAACTACCTCTTCAGAAGTACTTTTGACTTTCAGTTCACTGTGGCAGGAGTTTTCTCCTAAGTAAGTTGGAAGGAGACAATGAAAGTCGTTTGAAGAGAGCAGTGTGAGCATGGCAGCCTCAGGGAGACCCGGCTCTCTCCTGCCTTGGACCAAAGCCGCCATCTTTAACTTTGCACGGGGCCCTCCCAGGCCTCACTTTTCATCTTTCTCTTCCCAGCTGTTTTCCATGCAGCCCTCAGCTCCAGTGAAGTCCAGAGAGGAACAAAGAAATAGTACTTGAAAGGTCCTTTCTGAAACCCATATGCAGTTATGTAGGAAATGGAATTGCCTGCTCTTAGTTGCCACACCCTGGTCCTCCCTTTCCAACCTCCCAGTGGTCCTCAGCCAGAGCACAGGTGCTCTGGTCCAGGGAAAAGACGAACCTCAGAGGAAAGTCAGCTACAGGTGAAAGTTGGGAGTTGCTGGGCAGTGTTGCCCTGAGCTAGCTGCCTTCAGGGGCTCAGAAGCAGTTGGTTCTGCCCTAAGCTGCCCCCTTCTCTAGCTGCCACTCCTGCTCAGGTAGACTCTACACAGCTGCCCCTGTGCGACCCCCACCACCCTAGACCAAGAGTCTTAGTCTGGACGTGGGAAGTGGGGGCAAGGTACTTTGTTGTGGGGCTGTCCTGAGGTCCCGCTTGTTGTAAGATGTTCACCAGCATCCTTGACCTTACCCACTCGGTGCCAGTGGCAAGCAAAGCTGCGTGCAGGTGTGGCTGAATATCTCCTGGAGGAACGGCTCATCCCTGGCAAGCCACTTCGATAAAAAGATCCTGCCACAAGATGTGACCATTTGCCTGATAAGTGTCCCTAGCACACATTCACCTGGGCAGACTGCTTCTGGTACACCAGCAGTTACCAAACAAAAGGGGGGTCACTCCTTTGCACTCTTCAAGGTTATTGAGAACCCCAAAGAGCTTGTGTTTAGGTGAGTTACACTACTGATACTCATATTAGAGATTGATACTGAAAGTTTTAAAATACTCATTCACTGAATAATACTTATTACACATTAACATAACATTTGTATGAAAACTTTTTTAAAATTTCACTGAGTGGCTTTTTTTTTAAATGGTACTGGGAATTGAACCCAGGACCACCCTACTACTGAGCTATATCCCTATCCCTTTTTGTTTCTTATTTTGAGGTAAGGTCTCGCTAAGTTGCCCAGGTACAACACGAGCTTGCAATCCTCCAGCCTCAGCCTCCATCAGTGCTGCGATTATAGCCATGTGCCACCGTAATGAGAAGAGTGGCGATTTTTTTTTTTTGCATGTCTTTGCAACTGTCTGCTTCACTCAATCTATTTTAATATCACATGAGAAGAACTTCACAGCGTGATGGCTAAAAGGGAAAACCTCATGGGCCCTGAGAGCTTCTAAAGGTCCCCACCTAAGGGTTCCTCAGACCTTACTTTGAAGACCTCTGTTTGGAAATACTCTTCCCATCCTTTGCTGCCTGAGTCCTTCATCTTTTTAGCTCCAATTCAAGTTCCTCTATTCTGAAATTTAAGAGAAGCTTTTCTCACCAACTTGGACCATATTTTTTTCTCTCTTCTAATCTATGCAGCAGTCATTGGCCTAACGAATCACTTGTCC